TGACACTAGCAAAAACCACCTGTGCAATGATAAGTTGCATGTGGACAAAAATTACCCATATGCGGCCCTTGAAAGACAGAAAGATAGGCTGGCCAATGAGGAAAACTATTTAAGTAGAAAACTGTCTTAGAAAATATCTAAAAACATTACATTTCTGAGAGATCACTTCTGTGTCAACTTACTGAAAGATCATAAAAAGTTTAACACTAACTACTTTTCAACACGCAATTCTGAAGTATACAGTTTATATTATTATTGCTTCCAGTAGCATAAAAACCTTCTAATATTTCCTAACCAACCCCTTTTTATCCAATAGAATATAGATAATGTGGCTTTGCTGGCATTCATATTAACCATGCCATAATACGTTCTCAAACAGTTTGTGGGGTCGGGTGGACTTTAAGTGGCTTTGCATTAGAGCGGTAGTTAAGAAACCAACTACAGAAGAATCTCCAGTTTTAAATCTAGGTCATACTATCCTTATTTAAGAGCAAGCATAAGCTAGATAATTTATATTACTTCCTGAAAATATATTTTTAAAAAGGAACATGGACAAGTTGAAAAAATACTGTTTCCACAGGATTTATTATAAATAGGCACATTTAGTTTTAAAATAATTCATAATCCCATGAATTCATCATGTAAGGAACTTCTCCCACAGTTATAGATAACCCACCAACAAAATTAACACTAAATTACATTTAACTAGACTTATGTCAGAATATATCAAATCAACATAATTACTTTTCAATTTGGGGTCGGGGAAGAGGGAAGAGATAAAGGTAGAGATGCAGACAGATAGCAGAAAATTTGAATTTTTCCCCAAAAAATACAATATTCAAAAATATATAAGCTAACTAACTAAATAAATAGTGGAAAATATTGGCTACTGTGAATTCCAGTGGTGGTGTATGTATGGGCACTGTATTTTTCTTCCTATATTTTTATACATATAAAGATTTTTTAGACACAATTTCCAGGGTATATCACAAGGTCAAGTACAGATTCAGCCGATGCTCCTGCTTCTACCCTGCACTGTTAACTGAAGTCCAAGAGGTATCATAGCCAAAGTATTAATGCCTCCCCTGGCTCAGAGGCAGACTGCCTAGGTTCAAATCCCAACTCGGCCAGTTTCTGGCTGTGAGCTTGAGCAAATAATATAAATGCACGAACCCGCAAGTCATCAGTATAATGAAGATAATAACAGTCTCTACTTCAAATGAGTTCCAATGAAAAACTACATGTAAAGAGCTTAGCACAGGGCCTGGCTGACAGGTAAATCGGTAGTTTGCCACACTGTTATAGTAACCAGAGTGTATTTTCAGACAGAAAAAAAAAAAAGACTAAATGACATTACACAGAAGTTTGGGGTTATTCAGATTGCACTGTATGGAACAATTGGCAATCCATACTATGATAAGATCATACAGAGCCTCAAGTCACCATTACTATAACAATAACCATCACCCAACATTGATATGGTTCTTACTTACAGGCCAAGCACTGTGCTAAGCATTTTCTATGTAGTTTCTCACTTGAATGCATAGGAAGCAAGGAATTATTATTCCTCTTTTACAGATGAAGAAATTGAAGGTCAACAATTATAATTTGTTCAAGATTATGATGGCAGAGAGTTGAGATCTGAACCTGGGCAATCTATCTCCAAAGCTTGCTTCTGACAGCAACTACCCACCTGAACTTGGGCAAGTCATTTCCCACATTGGGACTTCGATGTCCTCTGGAAAATGAGCAGAGTGGTGGGATGGGTGCTCTCAAAAGCCCCTTCTAGATTTTTCTGGACAAAAATGCTACTTAACCCAATTCACTACTGTACAGAAAGCATCTCCACTCTAGTCCTTTACATGCCTAGGCGTCTCTAGTCTTGTACAATTCCCTCGGCAGAGTGCCTCCATGTTCTTGAGCTCTGTTTGGTGGGAGGCATCGGTCAGGTAGGGAACCTCACTAGAAAGTTCCATAACTAAGTCTCTTTGAATTGAGTTCAAAGAAAACCTGACTTAAAATGAATTCTACCGGACAGCACTATTTGCTTGCTACAGGGAAGTTAAGAACATACATCAACAAAATTAGCCAAAAGCTCTAAGACCTGAGTTACGTCACTCTACCTCTCAGGACCTCAGTTTCCTTATTTATAGAAATGTAATGGCTTACAGATACAAGTAATCCCTAATGAAGCAGCCATCCCAATCCAGGGAAACCAATCAACCTTGTCAGAATTGAGAGAGCATGTGCACTTTGAAAAACCACATTTGAATACAGTTATTGCTTTTACCATATAAACTACAGAAGTAAAGCTCCAAAAAAAAAATCTATTGTGTTTGGCAAACGAAAGTGAAGCAGCATTGGGGAAGGGGAAAGGGAGAGGCGCATGGATTTTTTTAAAATATTAAGATACATCAGAGTAGATAACTATTGAAAGCCCCTTTTAACGCAAAGTGTCTGTGAAATTTTAAAAAATCAAGTTAGCACTCTATGAAATAAACTTTCCAATTCAAAGAAAAAAATCCTATTTGTCAAATAAACATTTAAAAAAAAAAGTCATTAGGACTACTTAAGATATTTTCTCCCTTTTGTAGAAAAATTATTTAAGTAAATGCACAAACATGTAAAGTTCTCCACACAAGACTCAAACACACTTCAAACATACTTTATATACTTATCAACACAAACCAAGTCTGATAATATTCCAAGCCAAAATACATCCTAGTTACTCCTACTCTGATTCTAATGCTGCTTCAAAACCCGGGAGCTCCATTTTAAGAAACAAAGTGAGACATAAAGTCCATGCAGTTCTTTCTCTGGTCAAATATATAAAGCTCAATTTTAAATCAAATCTCTTCACCTACAAATCTTTCGGCCATCGTTGCCTATTTAATAGCACCATTAGGTGAAAAGACAAGGGACCAAACGCAATCCAGTGTGTCTGGCTATAATTAGCATTGCTGATAAATGGTCTGCTGAGAAACAACATACTACTTGTCAATATCTGTTTGGGGGAACTTTTATGGATTTAATCTCTCCCCAGATCCCATTTCCGGAGATAATTAATCAAAAGCTAGTTGTATTCAAATTCAACTCCTAGAAAAAGATAACTGATGTCTACATCGTCAGCTCTCAATTCCTAAACCTCCTTATTAGATTTGAGGTTATCCTCTAAGACTTGGTTCGGGACTTGGGTTGGGAGCACCAAAATAAAAAGAGGGCCTATTAGAAAAAGAATACCATGAAAAAAGTGGACAGCTTTTAGAAAAAGAGCTCTCCTACCAAATGCAGCCTCCATCCCTGCCCTACCCCACCCCACCCCAAATAAATGCAGAGAGAAATTCCAGAAAGGGGATTCCTCCTTTTCTCTACCTACCAAACTGATCTCATCTTGCAGTGTCTTTTCATTTTTTTTTAATAAGCAGACTTTAGAATGGCACAAAATAAATGTTACTATTACAATCTTCCATCTCTGAAGAAGCCTGTGAAAACTTGTTAAGATCCTTTCTCATTAAAAACCCTCATACACACAACTGATGGGTTTCATGGACCTCCTTCAACTATCAAGATTAAAAATCCTTGCTCTAGCCGAGAGAATCATGTGCTTCTCAATAACCCTACCTCCTCCTTCAGGGATGGGAGGTGCCCAAACATCACATCTGAAACACAGAACAATAAAATGAAGGCTCCAATTGCACCTGATGTGTTAAACTACCGCTGTCAAATGCTGGTTCTGCCATTTTTCAGCAATGCTCAATGGATTTGTTTATTTTTTTCCTTGACCACACAAAGTGAGTCTCATCCAAAGCCCTCCTCTCTCCTTTCTTTCTTCTTTTCCTTTTTAACTGAGCCTAGAATGTTATGGCCAAATCAATGTATAAGTGAAGGACAAAGGTTTGCCTGAGAACAAAAGCCCCCAGTGAGCACTCACCCTCACCACCCCTTTCCAACTCAAGATGTTCAGGACACTGTCAACCAGTGTGGCCGAGGGCCGGATCAGAAAGCAAGAACAGAATAAGGACACTCCATTCAACCTTTTTGTCTGGGGCACTTCCTGGGTTTTTCATTGGCATTTAACACCAAGACACAAGGCTCGTTTTTCATTAAAGTTGCAAGACTTTCACTTTGCCCAGTTTCAAATGGTGTAATTGATCTGCATTGTCTTCTTAAATAACCCAACTGAAGGACACTGCAGCTTTAAATATTTCAGTGCTAACTAGCAAATAGACTCCATTGCAATATGGCTCTGAAGGTCGCGTCCTATTGTCTCTTTCCTCTGGAAAAAGAAATTTTTTCTAAGTCCATCTTCTAGGTAACATAGGAAGGGTTACCCCTAGAATTTCCACTCTTCATCTCGGTCTCTGATAGAGTTCCGATGGTGATTGGAATCTCACACTCATAATTTTCCTGGCAGGGGCAATATGCTGATTGCTATTAAAGATGCCAGCACCTTTTAGCAAGACATAAACACATGTGTTCACATTAGTTTAATTGAGCGTATGCAACTGTCTGAAATGGCACCACTCACGGGCTTGTTCATCTCTTCCAGGGCAGGGCCAGGGTGCTTTAGGAGTGGACGGCAGCCGTAGCCCGCACTCTGCCCCCGGAGCCCCAAATTGCATAACCTGAAAAGTGTAGCTACTTAAACCGACCGGAATCTCCGCCTACTCATCCTGGGTCGATGCAGGCACCTTGCCACACACTTGCCGCTTTACTTGTCAAAGGAGGTCAAAATAAGAGGCGTAAGAACGGCGAAGGGAAAAAATAAACTAAAAGAAAAAGGCCCTTTTCTATCTTGTCAGGGTGTATAGACACGTATCTTTGAATAGTCATAGTGTTCCCCCATCCCGGGGCTCGGGAGCGGAATGGCCCCAGTGAACTGGGGGCTTTGGGAAGGGGGCGAGGGTAATCAGTGGACTATTAAAAGGCAGGGAAGGAGGGGAGGAGGAAGCGGGGTAGGAGGTAGGAGGAAGGCGAGTGCAGGTGCACTGGAGCATTACCTGAAATGGCAACAGATTGTTACCATTATCGGTCCGGAAAGCGTTATCCTCCATCCAGGACTTGGAGGTGAGCGGGGCCGCGCGGGGGAACTTGGGCGGCGCGATCACATTGCTGGAGAAGGGTTTTTTGAGCGGCGAGATGGGGTTGAGCGGTGAAGGCACCCCGACGCCCACGCCCACGCCCACGCCGACCGCCACAGACCATGGAACCTCAGAGGGAAGGCAGGGGAGGGTGGGTGGGAAGAGATCAACCCATGAACTTGTCTGCATATATGCCTAACGCATGGACACCGACAATGGGGTGGTGAGGACATGGATGGGAGACAGGCAGGAGCAGGATGGGGTTTATGGGGGGAAAGGAAGGCCTATATAATACTTTTAACAATAAAGATTTTGAGAGAGAGAGAGAGAGAGAGAGAGAGAGAGAGAGAGAGCACATCCTATATAATAAAAGGCCAGGGACCATAAGCGTAATGACCAGAAAGACCACTTGACCAGTCGTCATGAGGTGTATTGACCACCTCTCGGTCCCTCCCCTCCCCCACCTCCCCATCCTCCCAAACCCGCCCGCAGGCAAACGGGGAACCACAGGGAAGCGGATGAGTGGTGGCAGGGTGGGACTGGGGACTGGTGAGCGGGTGGAATGGCTGACTTCTTGGTCCCTTCCCCCAGCCCACAGGCTCCAATGGATCAGCGATGGGGAATGGGGGAACTGGGGTGGGTGGTGGGAGGACATGGCTGGCTGTCAGGCCATTGGGATCCCCAGCTCACCCCTGGCTGCTTGGGGGCTCAGGCCAGTGGGAAAGCAGGCGCTGGCAACTTCACCTTCATGCGCGTGCACTCAGCCGGCCGCTGATGTAATGCGCTGCCTGCTCAGGGCCACTCATGCGGGCACCACCGATGATGCTGCTGCTGCCGCTGCTGCTGCTGGGGCTGGGGCTGGGTTTTGCTTTTGTCCATCAGTAAATCATCCTGCATGGTTTGCGCAGCTGAAACGGGAAAAAAGAGAGACGCGTTATTGTCAATGTGATCGTTAATGCCCCTCGCTGAAGCGGGCGGGTGTTTTACTTGCGAAAATCCAGTGCCTCCGCTACTAGCCAATTGCAAAGCAAATCCATAATCTCCCATTTAGAAGAACAGGTCGGGCTGGGGTGGGAGGGCTCACGCACGGTCTCTAAAAACACTGTGAGAGCGTCTTCACCCTTTCTGATGTCTTGGTTCCCTTTCTGGATTAGTGAGAGATGTGCTTATAAGACAGAAAGACAGCAATTTCGCCACGTCTCTTTTCCCTTCACCGGAACTAAGAGCGTTCACCCGGCAATGAGAAACTGATTCTGGTTCCTGTTTTTTCCCAAGCACCACCCTCCCCTAGTTATTTGCATACGTCAATAAATACTGCTGCGTCCTTCAGCAAGGTTAAAAAGACACCGCGCACGACCCTTTCTCCCCCCTCCTCGATTCTGACACTTTAAAGAAACAGCAGCCTCATCCCTCTTGATTAGCAAACTGCCTTCTAGCGTTGATAATTGTTTCATTTAGCAGCAGCGAACCACGAGGGAGGAAATCCTTGGCATTTGTGAGGAGGACTCAGCTGCACAATCGTTCTCTGGCCTCCCAGTAGCTGCAGCACTCCATTTTGTTAGGAGACAGAAAAAAAAAAAAAAGAAAAAAGAAAAGAAAAAAAAACCCCACACCGTTTTTAAAGAGGTAAAAATCTCCTGAAACGTTTGGAAGTGCTTGCTTCTTGTTACTCTCTAAGGATTAAGGATTTTCTGCTTATTCTCCAATTTTCTTGTCTCCAGTTCTGCTGCACAAGAGATTTTTGGCATCTCAGTGGTTCAGGTCTCAACAGGAGCCTGAGAATTTCTCTGCAGAGTGAAGAAATGTTCTAGTTGTATTTGAGGTCAGAGAGAGAGAGAGAGAGACACTCTGGCAGACACTGAGTGTGAGATGGGGTGGGGCTTTTTTTTAAAAAAAATCCTCTAGGGAGGAAAAAAAGAAAAGTAAAAAATCCTTCTGGGATTTAAGTAGAAAGTCAAGATAATTCTGGAGTTGCCAGATTGTCATTTTTGAATCCTCCTGCTGCTGCCTTGGTCACAAGACTTCAGCAAATTTAGAATACACTCTCTTATCACTAGTATTAGCAGTGAAAGATTATGGTTTGAAGACCCTGAATTACCATATGCTAGCAAAAGTGTTAAAAATAGCAGAGTACAAAGTCTCAAATTCTCATACATTGTAATTATAGTGCATTGCCATCACTGCTTCATTTAGCCATATAAGGAGAGTATGGTATTTTCCATTTCGAATAGGATTATATTCACCCCTGCCTACTGCCTATTTTCTCATTCACGGACTATTATATTCACCTCTACCTACTGCCTGTTTTCTCATTCACGGATGAAAATAGTAATCACTCAAAACCAGATTGCCATACATATAGTTACCACTGAGCTAGTGTGTCCCTTGGAACATGTTAATTGTATTAACTATATTAATATTACAGTGCTGAGACCCTGGAAACAAATATTTTGAAATTTTAAGGAAGCATATGACCAAACATATAATTATTTTAGATGAGAATTCAGTATAATTGTAACAAAGTTATGAATATATTTAATGCAGTTAATTCAGATACAGAGAAGAATTTTCTCAGGACACTTGTGAAAGGGCATTCAAATACAGGCAGAAGCTCGGCCTTTGGGCATCCTCATAATAACAACTGTTGTAAAATAAATGTATTGGAAATGGAGGTGCTCCTGCTCTTAACTATTAAACAAAATTATGTCAAACCAAGAAATAGGATTAAAAATAGTTCCATTTTATTAAAGACTATCTTTAAAATGATTACAGTATGTCTAATCATGGGGTTGTACACTTGAAACTAATATAATATTGTACATCAACTTTTTATTTTGTTATTTAAAAATAAAAAACACGAAATGGTTAATCTTTCATTTTAAAGTTCCATACATAGACAAAATAGCGGGCTCAAGAAAATGCTTCACAGCCACCTTACTCTCCTTTTCTACTCCTTTCTCCCCTATCTCCCCCCCCACACCCCCGCAAAAGAACCCAACCCAGTATGACATACATCACAAATGGCCAGCTACTACCAATAAAATCTACTTAAGATTGATTTTATGTTCCTCAGTTCCCTTGGTCTAAAACAATGCTTTGATCAGTATTGAAAAATATGACACAAAGAGGCAAGCGAGGCTGGGATTCACAACACCAAGTTCTATTGCTACCAAAGGAAATGGTGATAGAAATAGACATTTTCATACTTGGTTTAAGCAGTGCTGCAGTAAACCATTATAATCTGAGATTTGAGATGCTTCCAGTGGGTTAGAATTGTCTTTACAATAGCCATATCATCATGGCTGAAAGATGCAGTTGCTTCTAATTTCAATCTCACAGCTTTTCTGATGCTTGTACAAATGCTTTTTGTTAATACTTTCAGTGTAAACTACATGCTCTTGGTGGAAAAAATAATGCTGTACTATAGCAAAAAAAAAAAAGCCAAAAAGTAAGCTGGACTCAGAATATTTTATAAAGGCTGTAATTAATATTAACATATTTATTGAATTTAAAGATTTTTATCATACCATGAACACCCATTTCTCTTCTCAATACCCTTAAAGATATACATTTCACTTTCTGCATAAATTCACTCTGTCAAGGTCAAGACCCATCTTTAATAAATAAGACCCTTTAAACAAAAGGTAAACAATAGATTAAGATAACATTTACAAAGTTAATATGCACTCTCTTTCGGTGACTGCTTGTATAGTTTGTTTGTTTGGATCAGGGTTTTTCTGTTTTCTTTTTTTCTTATTTACAGCAAAGTCCGAGAAATAGATACCTCCTCCTTCCCCTCCCCCCACCACACACACACACAATAGATCTTCCTTTACATGCAATCACCCAATCTCAAGTAACAAATTCTTAGTAGCAGTTACCTTTGAGGGTCCAGTTTTTAAGGATCGATAAAATTTAAAAGTGTACAGTATTTATTTTCTTCTTTCAGGTTGATTATGTGACCGCTCTGGCAAAAGCACTTTGACAACTGTAAGAAGAAAGGGCATGCGCAAACGGGGAACTGTGGGGGCTGAAGTCCTTCACAAGGTACTCTGCCCGACTGAAGCACGTTCAGCCAGAAAAGGAGGAAACCTCGAAAATAACTGATTCCAGGGGGAAGAGGTTGTCCCCGGTGCACATTATATCTTCCTAACCAATCTACATCACGAGTTGTTGAAATGAGAAGGAGAAAAAATAAAATGGCTTGTCAACTTGATTTAGGAAGCCAGGTTAAAAGAGAAACTGGATTGTAGGGCTCAAAATAAATAAACCCAGCAGAGCTACCTTAAATGGTATTAGAATGGTAATGACTAGATAGCCAGCAATAGGAACCCTACCAGAGCAAAAGAGACTGGGGTGGGGAGGGATGAGAAAAGGAGGGGACTCATGGGGGAAGATAAATACTTAAAATCTGACCATATATAAAAGAAACATTTTTAACATTATAGAATGAAAAGTGCCTCAGTGTGAAATGTGATATTAAACTTGGAGGTCAGGTGAAAGTAAGTTTCAGTCACAAATTTCTGACATCTTATCTACCCAGATTTCTTTGTATTTGAGTTTTCAGTAAAGGCACAAATCGTTTATTTTACCTGATAGTCTCTGAATCCACTCACCTCCTTATTTTACTTGGCAAAATGAAAGTTTACCTTGCATTACTCATACAATGCTCAATTAAATAAAATTCAACTCTTTTAAGCTAAAGTAATATTTGCTGAAATATTTAAAATATTAAAAAAACATATTTAGTGTTTCACTGCATAGGACAGTGACTTTTTTATTCGACAGACAGTAGATACAGTTTCTATTTTTGTTGTGTTTTTTTTTTAATGTTCAGTGTGCCGGGCCGGTGTGGCCCAGTGGTTGAATGTTGAGCCATGAACCAGGAGGTCACCATTCGGTTCTGGTCAGGGCACATGCTCAGGTTTCAGGCTGGATCCCCAGAAGGGGGAGTGCAGAAGGCAGCCCATCAATGATTGACTCTCATCATTGATGTTTTCTATCTCTCTCTTCCTCTCCCTTCCTCTCTCTGAAATCAATAAATATATACATATATTTTTTAAAGTTTC